AATTTTAAGTAATTATAGTTAATTATTAATAAAAATAATTAACTATAACAATATTAAAAATTAATTAAAGCTCATTAATTCTTAAACTTGGCTTTTCTACTTCCCCCCTTATTCTTCTCATTTCTCTATAATTTCACTTGCCTTTTCCTTCTCATGTTGCCTCTTGGATTGTTGCGATTCCTGCTGGCTTTGACCCTTCAGTTTGCTCTTGAAATTAATGCCCCGTGGTCCTTCATTTTACCGAAATTAAAAGTGGCTCTTTGGTTCTCTGTCTGGGCAGTTTTCCCATATCAGCTGGAGGCCTTTTCCCGTGGAAATGAAGCCTTGTTTCCTGTGCAATATTGGGGCTGCTGTGAAGTGACTGTTTGTCTTTCAATTCCCTCATTTATTTGAGTATATGAAGAGATTTTGGGGCTGTTTTTTGGACAGAATTTGAATAGTTTTATGGGGACTGTTTGGTGGTTGTTTTGGGGAGAATTTCAAGAGACTTTTACAGATTTCTGGATAGATTTCTACTGCAGTTTTTAGGTGCCTTTTGGCCTTCTATTTTCAGCTTTTAATTAATGTTTTGGGGCTGTTTGTATTCCTCTTTATGCTTATATATAGAAGATGTTTGTGGCTGTTTTAGGTGGTGAAAAATGTTATTTTTGGAGTAAGAAAACCTGAGGGTTTCTTGGAAAAAGCTTGAGAGCTTTGTTCCACTTCTTCTACTTCTATGGAAATCTTGCGAGCTCTTTCCAACCTTCGTCTTGGCTTCTAATCTCTTTCTTCTCTACGCAAGTGCCATTCCATATGTATCTTTCTTCTCTAAGTGAAGCAAGTTTAGGTGTGTGTCCAAGTTTGTAAGTGTTGTTTGTAAGTGACATGAAATGTAAGAGTTTTATCTAATATTATGAAAGTGTCTTTGTTTCTTATTTTGTGTCTTTTTAGAATTTGGTGAATTTCTTCAGCATTTTCAGTATTTCTTTTATATAGGAAGTCTCCTAATTTTGTGATAAAAAATTTGGGGCCCTCTCCCAAATTTTTGATTGCATCAATTTTGGTATCAGAGCAAGTTAGGAAGTCTCAGGTTTGTGAGTCAAGTTGTCAAGCCTGAGTCTGTCAAGTTTTTTTTGGTTGTCAAATTTAGTTGTCAAGTCTTTATTTTGTTTGTCAAGTCTTTTCGTGAGTCTTAAGTTGAGTCTAAGTTTTTTTTTAGGTGGAGTCTTTTGAGTCTTTTTTGAGTCATCAAAAAAATGAAAAAAAGACAAAAATGCAGAAGAAAGCAAACCAGATGAAGTTGAAGATTCAATGGATAGATGGATTCCATCAAAATCAAAACATCCTTTGGAGTATGAGCTGTACAAGCTTCAATCATGGATGCACATACGTACAGAAAGGTACTTCAAGAAAAAGCAGCGCTTACAAGATAAATTTCTCAGAGAACGAGATGAGATCATGCAAAAGTATGAAGATTTGATCAATGAATTGGATGCGCCGCCTTCACCTCCTCGAAAGAAACCAAGAACTGACTCATCGGGAGCTGAGTCCTCAAGAAGGGGAGTCCGATGTAGGCAGGGGGGGTCAAATCAAATCCTAATATTTGATTTTTGACTTCTCTAGCTCATTAATGTCAAGTGGAAGTTTAGCTCATTATGAGCTGATTTTTAGTTCATTTATTGAACTCAAAATTAGCTCATTAATTCTTAAACTTGGCTTTTCTCCTCCCCCCTTATTCTTCTCATTTCTCTATAATTTCACTTGCCTTTTCCTTCTCATGTTGCCTCTTGGATTGTTGCGATTCCTGCTGGCTTTGACCCTTCAGTTTGCTCTTGAAATTAATGCCCCGTGGTCCTTCATTTTACCGAAATTAAAAGTGTCTCTTTGGTTCTCTGTCTGGGCAGTTTTCCCATATCAGCTGGAGGCCTTTTCCCGTGGAAATGAAGCCTTGTTTTGTGTGCAATATTGGGGCTGCTGTGAAGTGACTGTTGGTCTTTCAATTCCCTCATTTATTTGAGTATATGAAGAGATTTTGGAGTTTTATTTTGGATAGAATTTGAACAGTTTTATGGGGACTGTTTGGTGGCTGTTTTGGGGAGAATTCCAAGAGACTTTTACAAATTTCTGGACATATTTCTACTGCAGTTTTTAGGTGTCTTTTGGCCTTCTATTTTCAACTTTTAATTAATGTTTTGGGGCTGTTTGTATTCCTCTTTATGCTTATATATAGAAGATGTTTGTGGCTGTTTTAGGTGGTGAAAATGTTATTTTTTTAGTAAGAAAACCTGAGGGTTTCTTGGAAAAAGCTTGAGAGCTTTGTTCCACTTCTTCTACTTCTATGGAAATCTTGCGAGCTCTTTCCAACCTTCGTCTTGACTTCTAATATATTTCTTCTCTCCGCAAGTGTCATTCCATATGTATCTTTCTTCTCTAAGTGAAGCAACTATAGGGTGTCTTGTTTGAGTCGTTTGTAGGGTGTTTGTGTTTCTAAGTGTCTTGTAAGCATCTTTAATGTTATGTCAAAAGTTTGTAAGTCCTTTTATATGATATAAAAAGTTTGTGTTTGTTTTAATTTGTCTAGTTTTATGAGTTCTTGATATTTTCTAGATCCTAGAAAGAGTCTTCTTTTGTGATAAAAAATTTGGGGCCCTCTCCCAAATTTTTGATTGCATCAACAAATATGCTTGTACATGTTTAACTAACTTGAAAACTGCAATCCACAAAAAAAAAAGCTTTTAGTGAGGCAATACTTCAGTTATGTAAGCATGGTAATATAGATGAAGACTCTTAAGCTTCCAAACATATCTATCCAGAGTTGTGAAAGTGTTATTGAGGATCTACGAAAGAGCCTTCTATTGGTATTGCTGTTGTAGTGGTGTTCTTTCGATTCATCTCTTTCACCAAGGATAGATGTCCAATTCATAATCTAATCATTGGAAAGGATTTTTGATTCATCTCTCTTCCTCATGATGGATGTTGATAGCTCTGGAATACCATCAATGAATTTTAGTTCTTCCTCCCACAACTTTAATCTTTCTTGAATATAATTTTTTGCAGCTTAGGAGAATTGATGTAGTGTAAGATTCTTAAATATTATACTTATTTCTGTTGTAGTGTTTTTTCATTTATTTTGTCAGTTGTCTTTTGTCTAAAGAATAAAATTTTCATTTATCATTTTGGACTAGGTTGGCTTGCTCATATTTTAATATTTAAGGTTAGTTTCATCATTTTGCATAAAAGTTTTTTTTTTTTAAATGAGTCCTGGGGTCTTGTAATTTAATGATAGTTGACGAACTAAAGAAAATATATTTCTTAGATTTCCCATTAGTGATCATAATTTTTATCTTTTATCTCTCAGTTTTTTTTTTTTTAAGTTTTGAGAACTCTAAACTTCTCAATCCTCTTTTTCTCCTATTTTCCTAGTTTTTCCTTTGTGCTTGATTTTTTTCTTTTCTGCTCCAACAAATAAAAATATTAATAAAAAAGAAAAATAAAAACCATGATAGTCTTATTTATGCTATTCTATTCTTTATCAATCTATAGTTGATTTAGGACCCCATGAACATTTAGGTTTTTGTCGCATATTGAGACAGTTCTGAAGTTAGTTGTTCACAGCATATAACTTCGATCAAATTTAGCTCATTAGGTACTCTAGGTGCCTCCTTTCTTTCTTCTATAACATTGAGCAAGCATGCTAAGTTGCATAAGTGGTTAAAATATGGGACTAGCATTGAAGCATATATTGAAGGGTGTAAATGAGTCCAGCCAAATTCGAGTCACCCTCGGCTTAAGCTTGATTAATTAACCGAGTTCTAGGTCATTTATTATGAAAGAGGGAGATCATTTTTATTCAAGTAGTTATTCTAATAATATGATAAAAAATAGGAAATTAAGTGAGATAGTAAAAAATAACTTAAAATAAGATAGAGATATAACATTTAAATATTTATACAAATTTATTCTAAAATTATTGATTTGTTATATATTTTAAATAGATTTAATATCAATATTTTTTAAACGAGTCAACTTACAAGCTGATGAGTTAAGTTGAGGCAAGCTTAAATTTGGTTCATTAGTTCGTTTAGCTTGGCTTACGAGCTATTTATTGAGTTGAGCATGAGCAGACTCATGAGCAGGCTTGTATCAATTAAATACATATATCAAAGGGTTGTTAATTTCATATTTTATATCGCATGAAGTAGCACAGAAATGCACAAGCCAGGTAAAAAATACTCCATAACAAATGTTATGATTGTTTTTAGTCTATCATATGAAATATTAAGATGAATAATTGAGACATTTAATTTGGGGTTTTAGAAGGCTAGATTATGGTATTTAAGCTAATATATTAGTATTTTTTATATTCTTTATAATTATCATGTCTTTCATTTAAGAAACCTTAGTAATGAATGTATAATTCACTGCCAAACTGAATCTTTTTTGGTACATACCTAAAGCTCGATTTTTTGTCAAAAATTTCTATTTTAGTCTTGCTTGATTATTTTATTTAGTTTCATACTTTTCCAAAAATTGGCACATCATAATTTTTATTTATCTGAGAAAAAAAATAGGAAGCATGCGATGAAAAGCACTATGTTACATGCCGACCATGATTTCAGTCATTTTAAGAATAGCTTGTCCATTTGTGCATGGACCCCCTTCCATGATTTAACAAATGAAACCTTAGTCATCATGTATACAAATTTATTCAAAAAATCCATGAAAATAAATATTCCCTAGCAATTGCTCTTTTTCAAAGACTTGTCTCGATACTTTTTTTGTTTACTGTTGTACCTAGGGACCACTTGAAGATTGTAAGTTAAGATTGGGTTTTGAATTTAGGTGTATGCTTCATCACATTAATTTTTTTCATGTAAAATTTTAATATTATGTTGTTAATTGACGGTTTATTAGCTTTGGAAAAGAAATTATTTACAAACGGTTCATACACATACAAACACTGATGATATTTTCCATTAGAACCAATTTTTACATGCTTTAACAAGCTATTATTCTTGCAGTGGAGGGGCAGGTAATAGTGGTGGTTATCTGGGCGAGGAGGGAACAATTACTGGAAAGAAGTGTCCCCAAGGTCTTTATGGCACTTTCTGCAATGTACGTTTGATTATACCCTTTTTTTATGGGGTTTCATACATATGTTTGTTTCTTTTTTCATACTGTATTACACTAAACTTCAAATCAAAGTATCATATCATTTTTTGTAATTTCTCTTGCGTGACACTGTTGCTTGTTAAAAATGATGTTATGCTATTGTATTCAAACTCTATATGAATTGAATAGCCTTTTTTTATTGTAAACAATGGGATGTGCTCATTGCTGGGATGTGTATTATCCCATTGTAATATATTGTAAGTCTATTGTAGTCTATTTAATGAACTTTGGGGAGTGTGCTTGGGGGTGGGTTTGTCCATATCAACTACTTAGGGTGGGTTTGTAAAACTTAAGTTCCCGTGTGCGTGCTTTTAAGTCTGCGGGAAAAAAATTACGCATTTTCACACATTTACCCCTAAATATTCATGCACGTCTTTCTTGGCGTGATGAGATTGAAGACTACTGCTGTGGTGTTGCTCAACACCGATTATGCACGTCTTTCTTGACGTGGTGGGCAGGCTAAGACTTCAAAAAATTCTCCTAAACAGGGGAGATGTTGGGCGGCTGTCGAATTTTTCAGTAAACATGAGATCTGACTTAATCTAATTCACAAGGAACAAAACTTAAATTAATGAACAGGTAACTAGACTTTAAATTAACAAATGCGCAATCGTAACGAAAATGAATGTGGTGGCTTGCCAATCAGCTAATGTTCATAGAGAAGTCAACAATGAATGCGATGCATCGGGCAACCCACATTAACATACGAATGAACACTCTAATTCCGCCTGCAAACAATAACACTCTACAAAGTCAACTTGGAATCGGACACATCAAACAATGGGTTCAACATACAACTAACCTGACAGATTCCTAACAAACTTGAATAAGAAAATTATTATGAGCAAGGCCCGCTCTCTACAAACAAAGACAACGAATTTATAATGTATGCAAACACGAGCAAGCAACGATGACAATGGATGAGTTGTGAATGTAGTAGTCTTCATATGTTCATCATTAGTCGGCTTGCAAATGAATACACTAGTTCATATGCAAGTAACGATAGTGGATAAATTATGAATGTAATGGGTTCCCTGCAAATACATTTAAGAGAACTGCAATGCATGTGACACACTACCTATAAGTGGTGGACAACATACTTGTAATACACACGAGCTCGTCATCAACAAGCAAATATAGAAAAACTATAGTAGATGTGAACATCTACGGGTAGCACTAGAAGATCTGCATTCAACGTAACTTAGTCATAGGTAACAACAGAAGACCCGAGATGCGTACAACTATCCCGCCTACAAGTAGTGTCAGAAAGTATACGTTGAATACAATCTACCTTCATGCAATAGCGGTCGACTTTTGAACGTCCGCTAACGACGCACAACTCACTAACAAATTCAACAAAGCTCGTATAGTATGCAACTTACCTGCAAGAAGCAACAAACGGCCCGTAGTCCAACGCTAAGATTCTCTTGTAAGCAGAACATGGAATTTGTAGTAAAAACTGCGAGCCAGTGATAAACTGATGCAGTAAATTTGAGATATCAGGCTGTCACACTAAGCCCCTAAGGAAGCTCTTGCATCTTCTAAATGACAATTGCTTGCACAATTAAACATATTCAAATATTGCAAAAATACCTCTATGCATTGAAATGCGCACTGATGTATTCACATCATTCATATACATGTTACAAAATACAAAACACATAATGCAAGCATATTATCAAACATATAAAATACACCGTGTAGCGGCAGTGTGCTATGCCAATTTGCAAATACATCATGCACTATATGAGAGCACCGAATTATCATGCAAATATATTATGCAAACAAATAGGCAATACATGAATGCATTATGCCTGCATGTTAGGAAAATATATCATATGTTATGTTAATGCATTAAACTCCCATGCAGTATAGCGGTACATTATGCGAGCACATTAAACGATGCATAAATGCACATGTCAGCATACATGTTTACATGCTAACATATGAATACACCTGCGAGTATGTTAACATGCAGATGAACACATGAGTGTGTATGTGAGCACGCAAATGTGTTTATATCTACTACATTGCATACATACAACCATTATACAAATACATTACGCAAAATAAATGCAAAAGCATATACCTGCATGTGCCCTGACGAGCGTGCGTATGCACACACGTGACGTCTGAGGATGCTGCGTGGGTTAAGAGATGAACTTAAGTTCAAGCCTGATCCTCTGTCGACAAATAGGTAGAGTCGACACGGCCTGAATCATCGAACAAAGACACGGTCGTAGCGCCGACCGAAGTATTTGGTTTTATACGTTCTTATTAGGCTTTCAAGATATCTTATAAGGAAAATTCACACATCAAAATGAATATCCTAGGTTCTGTATAAATCTCTTATTTATTTTGATAGGAGGTGTGCAAATACAACAGGGCTTATGTCTGCTTGGAATTAACAGCCATTTAACAACTTAATATACAAGCAATCGTCCTGGATGTAATACACTATAAAGCTAGCTTTATCCTAAGAGATCAAAGGAGTAAATCGAACTCCAAATTAGTAACTCAAAATGAATCTTCACTTTAAGTTAAAGTGACACTATCGAGAAGACTCACTAAAAACTCTAAATTTTATCTTATTTAATTAACCTAAGTAAATTTTCTAACCTTTGGCAGCATAACGTCCCTATACCAACAGGAATAGCGTAGCATCCTCTGGGCGCAAGAGGACCCCACTACCTTACCATAGTCTTGTGCGTTGGGCTAGTGTACATTGCAGAAAATAAAATGCATATGTGTATGCATATCAGGGCAAAGGTGTTCGTGTATACAATACCCAAAACTATATCGACTTAGAATTAGTATATGTGTTCCTACAAAGTCTGGAATACATACATCATGGAAAACTTAGGAAAATTCTACCCACTAATGCAATCTAACACCCATATGATGAAATGCATGAATGTAATGTAAATAAAGAAAGAGGACTATACATAAAGAAAAATGAGTTTTATTACTGTTTAATGTCTTCGAGCTCCAAGTATTATGTGGAATTCCAAAAGAGATTATCCCCCCAAAGGCAGGGATATCGTCTTTTGAATCTTCACTTGTATATATAAGCAGACATTCTTAATTATTTTATAACTCTGGACACTGTACAATTCGATCTATATACAAATTTACTCTTTACAGACTCTGATACATATACATTACATTTCCTAGGTATATTCTGCTTACTATTGTAAGAAAATAAAGATCCGAAAAAGAAAGAATATTAGCATATATAATATAAAGTGCACCAGTTGTGTAATATCCTAATGCTTCTAATGCAGTCCTTAAAAAGTCTAAGTGCACCAATGAAAAATAAAGGTATGACATTCCAGAGTGTAGAAATATAAATAAATAGACAATGGGTGCTCTCCAAGCAAAGCACCCGACAATCAATTCATACCACCAGTCTAACCTAGACTAGAGTTGGTTGTCCTAGCAAACCATTTAAGCTTGTGAGATGCTGTGTGGCTTTGGTATTTCTTATAAGAATTTAATGTTTAAGTTACATGAATTTTAATGTTTGTTTATTAAAGGTTAAATGGGGAATTTAGTTGAAGTTTATCTTTTGTATATTTGGATTTTATTATTTAGATTTTAAGGTTTGAAATTAATTATTTAATTATAAAGAACTTATAGATTAAAAACCCTAAAGTGCAAGGGTTAGTAATTTAAAAGTCCTAGAAGGCTTTGCAACTGAAATGTGATAATCCCCATATAAGATAGATGATCACATAAAGCCTTAAGAAATTTATTTATTAATGTATTAAGAGATAGAAAAAGGTCCCTTCAATCAAATACATATACTCTCCAAGTGGAGTCAAGCATAATATATAGGGTCTGTAATTTATTTGTGGTTGATTAAGGGTTGTAAAAAAATTATACAATCATGCTTTTCATGGGTGGAGGCTAGCACGGTGCATAGACCCTTAATTTGTTATTTAATATTTACTAAATCCCTTAATCAAATATGTAAGTATATGAGTATTTAATAATATTGTTAAAATTTTTAAAAATATATAATTTTAGTCCCACATCATAGGAGAAGTTTAAGATTGTTGCCTTTGAACCCTTTATAAAGTGTGAAGTACACTCTTTTTATTAAACAAATTATGTGAGATATTTAAGATGCATATATTATGGTGTAATTAATAATCATAGTTAATAAAAATATTTAAAAAAGTTAAATGAATTTAATAAACTAAAATATATTATTTAAAATATAATTAAAACAAAATAATTTTTTTTCTAAACCAGTCGGTTCTTTCGAACCCGGATTGGTTCAGCGGTTCACCGGGTGAATTTCCAGTTCAATCCGATTTGATCTGGTCCGATGCATAGTCGGTTTTATAAGCTGGATTGGATCGGCCACCATACTGATTCGCGGTTGAACTGGCTAGTCCGATTTTCAAAACAGTGGTTTTACCTTCATTTACTGAATCTCAGAAGTTGTATGAGAGCTTGATTTGTTTGTTGAGAGGTGTAGAACATTTCTCCAGAAGACGTCGAGAGCTAAAATGGTCTGGATCGCGAGATCTAGGCCTTGGACAGGTGTTCGGTGTGGCGGGGATCTCGTCGTCAACAATGTGCAACTGCCGGAGTTTGACTTGGAAAGGGTGTATGGAAGTGTGGAGAGCTCGAACAAAATCAAAGTTGACCTAGAGGTGGTGAGAGAGAGAGGGTAATTGCTTTAATGAGCCTTTTTGGACCCTTTGGCCTATGCAATTAAAAGAGGGATTTCTTTGTTTATTTCTCTTAATTCGTTTTGAGAATTGTGCTTGGGGCTACTGAAATTAAATTTCAGCCAAGGAATACTGGATTTTTACAAGTACTTCTGATTGGTCTATCTCTACTGAACCTAATATAGGCCGGATATAATATATTTACTCTCCTAACTGGGTCATTGGAAGGGTGATATTTTAGACCAAACCATCTAAGTTGACTCTCTAATCTTATCTACAATTGGAGCTACTCCAACATTTCACGTATATACTCATTTCCCATTCATTATCTAAGTGTAAATCCAATCATCCACTCATGCATCCTTGTCTCTATAACACAACTTAATTTTATTCTTCTCTTTTAATTTCCAACATTCTGCACCATAAAACATTGTAGGTCTCACCACCATCTTATAAAATTTTCCCTTAAGTTTGAGAGCTAATTTTCTTTCAAACCCCAATGCATTACTCCACTTAACCATCCAACTTGAATTCTACTAGTAATAACCCATCTATTTCACCGTCGCTTCAAACAATAGGTCTGAGATATCTAAAACGTGCACTCTTTTTAATGACTTGATCACCCAAAATCACAATCCCACCACTAGATATATTAATACTAAAATTACACTTTTACTGCTAAAATTATACTTTATGTATTCAGTTTTAGATCTACTACCTTTAGACTCTAAAATTGACCTCCATAATTCAAGTTTTGCTTTTACACCCTCTATAGTCTTATCAACAAGAAGAATATCATCAGCAAAAAGCATACACTAAGGTACTGTAACAGCTCAAACTCTTAAATATCGAAATATTATCCGCTTTGGCTCCTAAGGGTCTCACGGTTCTGTCCTGTTGATGTAACGTTTCAAGAGGTCACCCATCCCAAGTTTTCTCTGGGATGAAGCAAAGTTTCTTAATGAAATTCGAACCATTACACCAAAAAGCACATCGATATTTAAGAGTTTAGCTTTTTTTACTCAAGGGATTTCACAATCTTCCCCACTTAAGTAACTGACTTCCTCGTCAATATCCTTATCCCAGAATCATCCACCAGACAAATAGGATTATAGAGGTGGCTTCTATAGCTTAAGTGGTGACTCTTGCCACATATCACTTTGTCTTGTATAACACTTAATTCTCATTTCTGGCTGTTGTATTGCTTTTATAGCATTTGTAACAGCTCAAACTCTTAACTATCGAGATATTGCGTGCTTTAGCCGAAGGGGCTCACAGTTGTTTTGTTGGTGTAGTTTCACAGGAGGTCACCCATCTCAGGATTTCTTCGGGATGTGAACGCTTAACTGTGAAGTTTCTTAATGAAATTCCAACCATTACAGCAAAAAGCGCCTCGATATTTAAAAGTTTAGATTTTTTATTTAAGAGATTTTACGGGTACATCCTCTTATAAAAGTCTAGTAAGAACATCCATGGCTAAAGCAAAAAAGATATAAGCTTAAAGCTGATCCTTGATGTAATCAAATTAAAATAGGAAAACACTTGGTCCCACCTTGTGTTTAAACACAGGTAACATCTTTTGCATGCATATCTTTAATGAATTGAATATAAGCATTATTAATTCCTTTCTTTCCTAGAACTCTCAATAGCACATCACTTGAAATTTTATTATATAAAATGGGAAACTACGAAAATACAATCATAAAATGAAAACTGAAAATACAGGTGAGATCAAAAATAAAGGCTAGCAATCTCGGCCGTCGATCTCCGTGGTCGTCTCTGATAAGCGCGCCGAAATCTCCTATCGATGACCTCATCAATATGCTTTCTTTAAATCAATAAATATCATATCTAAATCAATAAATATCATATGTAGATCCTCCTCTCCCATAGTATCCTATGTTGAATCTCTCTATCTCATAATTTTAATGTATGACACATTAACTTAATTCCTCTATAGTTTTTACACTCATGTGCATTTCTTTTGTTCTAAAAATAATAGCCAACACACTCCTCCACTTATCTGACATTTTTTTAGTCTTCAAATTAATATTAAAAGTTCAATAAGCCAAGAAATTCCTTGATCTCCTAAGCATTTCCACACCTTTATTGGAATATCATCAGGTCCCATTGCTTTTCCACACTTTATTTTTCTTAAGCCTCTCCAAATTCCATTTTTCTAATACAACGATAAAAACAAAAATCTCTATTTTCATTTAGGGTGTCAAGGTCACTAAAATCAATCGTATTATCACAATCTTCATTGAAAAGCGTATCAAAATATCTAATCCACCTATGTTGAATTTCCTCTTCTAAAAAAACACTTTTTTATCTTCATCCTGAACTATAATAAATTCTTTTTTTTTTCCTTGTAGGGCATACTTTTGTGCTACTAGATATTTAGTTATTGGGTGGACAGTTTTTATTTTCTTTTATTACTTAGCAATCTTGTGTATTGGTAGCTAGATTTCATAAAGAATGTCAAAGTACTAGCTTGTTTGCTTACGTAGCAGTTAGCATAATGTGAAAATAAATTATCAAGAAAAAGAAATTTCCTCATGAAATTTATGTTCTGTAATAATCGTTTGTATAGAAGATGCTATTAAAATCGCCCCAAATATTTGAAATAAGGATAGAAATGAGGATCATGAAATGATAAAGGATGTCATTTCTTGTTTCTTAGTTATCTACTATTGGTTGAGCTTCTATCGTAGGTGATATGAAATGGCGTTCTGCATTATTATTTCAGGAATGCCCAATTGGTACATACAAAGATGTTGTTGGATCTGAACCATTACTCTGTTCTCCCTGCTCACTTGATTTGCTTCCCCAAAGAGCAGATTTCATATATGTACGAGGTAGCTTCTTACCTTAACTTCAAACATGTGAATAGGCATTATAATTGTTTTCAAAAAAATATTTCTCTTACTTTGGACCATATGCCCAATAAGTTTCTTATTTCTTCATTACAGCATATTTTTTTGGTTTGGAATATATTCTAATGGGATTTTTGCAGGTGGGGTTACGCAGCCATTCTGCCCATATAAATGTTTATCAGACAAGTACAAGATGCCAAAATGCTACACTCCACTTGAAGAATTGATATATACTTTTGGAGGTCCTTGGCCATTTGCAATTGTCCTCTCGTTTATATTGATACTCTTAGCACTTCTTTTAAGTGCTTTAAGAATAAAAATGGTTGGAACTGATTTTAGATATCAAACTTCAAATCCTATTCAAAATGATGGTTCATCTTCCTTTCCATATCTTTTGTCGCTGGCTGAGGTACCATTTTGTTTATCAATTTAGGTGCGAATATGCTTATTACTATGAAAATATATTGCTTAGACTCTTGTTGAAATGATTCCTTATTAATAAACTAGGTTCCTGGGACTAGCAGAGTTGAAGAAACTCAAAGTCATGTGCATAGGCTGTACTTCATGGGTCCAAATACATTCAGAGAGCCTTGGCATCTTCCTTACTCTCCGCCAGATGCAATTATCGGAATTGTGTAAGGAAAATTTGAAATTTTGGAATCCTTTTTGGAATGTATGTTCTTTATTTACCAGTAGTTAGTGGATGCCCTTCCGTTCTGTAAGGTTGATCCCGCTAAAGTTCTGTACGAAAAAGCTTTTACGAAAGAATTAGTCAATATCTAATTAAATCATATATATATATATATATATATATATATTACTAACAAATAAATAATAAATACTATTTCTGAAATTTATATTATTTTAAAAAATAAAAGATAAAGAAAAAAATAATAAATAAAACAACCACAAAAATAAGTGAGGCATAGTTTCCTGCCCCCAATAACTCCCAAGGCATCAAAGTTCTACAGCCAAAGTGAGCTATTATGACTTTCACGTGGGGGTTGTCTACAAGAAATCATGTAAAAATGCACTCCCCTTCCTAGATCTCACTCCAAACGTAGTCCATCTTTTATAATCATAGCTACTCAATATATGAAGGCCCCGTTTT